TTCCTAAAAAAATTTACTTGATGTATTCTGTCCTTGTATAGTTTTTTCCCTATTGTTCCAAGGTATTTTAAATATTAATATTAGTACGTACTTCCTACTGTGGCTAGTGTTGCTACCACTGCTAATGCCCTTGCTTTCATTCCTGCTTCTATTTTGATAAATATAGAATCACCTTTACTACTTATAATATTATGTAATAAAATTAAACGAAGACACTTGACACTCCTGACGTGTAGGAATGCGAAAGAATTCTTACACGCAGCGCATTCCTACAAGCAGCGCGCCACGTCTTCCTTTTTCACACGGCGCTCCGGCAGTAACGTCGCGCTCCCTCACTGCGCATGCGCGGCACCCCCGCCGGCTCCACGGCTTCCGTGACGACGCATCTGTGTTGCTGTGCTCTTCTTTGTGTTTTTTTGTTGTTTTTTTGTTGTTTTTTTCTGAGGCACGTCCGCTTTGCAGTTAATGGGACTTTATGTACCGTTTCGGTCAGCCGATTAATATTCAGGTGTCGTCTTTCGCAGCTACAGACATGAGATATCGCCGGCTTCGTTCCATGGGGCAGTTACTGCTTTCGCAGTTATGTTTTGATATTTTAATAATTATAGCAGCAAACCAACTGGAAGGACCGGTCGTAAATATTAAGCAGGAATGTGCCTCATCCCCAGGCTGAACGACAGACGGCATTGCACGCGGCCATTGCCTCAGCATTTATGTCCACCAGTCATGGTCAAGATGGTTGTTTGCCTAAACGCAACATTAGGAGGCTACAGGAATTGTGAATGGATCGTTAGTTTTCTGTTTCTTCCAGCCCCTTTAGTAGTAGACGTGATCATGAGAAGTTAGGTATAAATATGAGAGGCCTTTTACATTTTATAAAACAAATGTCAACAATGTTATGCAGCTGTTGCACGTTAAAAATATTTCGTGCTATGTGCCGTCAGTGCACTGGATATAGGAAAATATCTGATTATCTGAATATGCATCACAAGGATGAGTGACTACCTCCCTCAGGAGGATTCGATAGAAAGACGCGTGGTCTTGCGAATGTAAAAAATGGTTCGCGAACTGGCTCTGCAGATAGTAAACAGAGAGCCAATAAGTGCCAGTTGTGTTTTGTCTAAACAGCAGAATTATGGCATGCTTTTTGCAAACCAAAACTGAATGATAAATAATTTTTTGAAAAATCTATAAAGAAAGGGCAACTGTCATTACTCTTATATTCGCAGAAAAAAAAAGGGCGAAGGCAGCGAGAACATTTTCTCGTGATTTACCTGATAGCCTTCGCGGGGGCAAGCTGACTCTGGCAACCGCAGGTGGTGGCCATTGCATCCGACCTCGCACTTTCCAGGAGTCCAAGTAAGAGCGTCTTCCGACTGTCGATCGGGTATAATGTCACAAATCATAATTGAAATAAAGCTCTGCCCAATGAAAAGTAACCAAACAAAACAAAATAAATTTATAGGTGATTATAAAGGATCGGGTTCTTTTTCCCTCAAGCAGGGAAAAGGAACCCGATCCTCACTTTCCTTCTCGGCAACCCTCCCACAACATAAAAGGATTTGATCACCTCTCGTTTTCTCCTCTACATTTTCTGAATTTTTTTTTAACCGCCTGCTTTATATTTTTGTGGAATTCTGGTGCGTGTACAATGAAAGTTTAAAATGAAATCCAAATAAATTAAAAATTGACTATTCCTCTTTTCTTTTTTTTTTTTTTTTGCCGTGCCTTTCATTTTTAAAACGCAAACGCTATTTCTTCAGTCATTGGGAATCTCACAAATAAAGACAAGATTAATCACGGTTAAGCCCAGTCCGAAGGCGTATCCAAATTACGGCGTCCGCGAACCAGGAGCACGGCGTCCTGCGAAGAGAGGGAGCTCCTCAAGGACGCCAGGTTGCGGGCGGACGGAGATTCCCCAAATGGAACTAAGTCCCGCAGCTTCGCGTTCAGTAAGCTGCCTGCGCACCTAGATTAGGGCTGTAAAAAAAATGAAGCGGTTTTGTATTTTAGTAAAAACATTTCCATTTGGCCGCCAAAATCAGGTATATTGGGTTCTTTTTTTTTTTTTTAATTTGATGCACGGAGGCTGCACAAAATAGTTTCAAAGTACCGCTGGTACTCCGAAATGACGGAACCTATGACGTAACGCTCCTTCCCGGAGCGTTACGTCATACAAGGAGTTTTCGGAATTTTCGCTCTCGCACATATTCAGCGCCTATCAAAGCTATGCACGCACACTCTCGTTGTTTTCAGAAAGTTCGGAAAAAGACGTCCCGACTGGTGACAGTTTGGGGGAATATAAATGGCAAGCTTGCAATTGCACGCGTTGCCTACACGAGCGATGAACCCTTGGAAGCCGAAAGATCCGGAGGTTTTTTGTGTTTTCTCGGGTTGGGAAACATCTTTGGGGAAAACGAACTATTCACATTCACGGGATAAAAATACTATAAAATTCTCCTCTAACTCATTTTTTTTTTTTCGAGAACATTTTCAGCTTCCCTTTAATGAGTTCGCATTACTGCCCAGGTACATGGGCTGACCTTGGACCGGTTTGCACTCGCCGAAATTGGCAACGTCGCCATTACATGGCGCCACAGCCGCACTGACAGTGGAGACTGGCTAGGAAGCACCTTCTGCAAGCGCCGACAGATGGCGGGCGGGGTGCGGGTGCGCGACGCGCGCCTTGGACGTTGTTTGGACGCCCTCGGAGGCTCCTGCCGCCGGCTTTGGAGACGTGTGGACGCACACGGGTTGCGTCGCGGTGCCTCGACCGCGCACGGGCACTAACAAAGTCACGTCGCGAAACGGCACCACTGTAGATTTGATCTTTACTCGCCATGTACATATCATTCAAACGACGCTAAATGTGGCGGACTTCACGCTGCACAGGCCGCTCATGTGCACATCTATCCACCGCAGGATTAAACACCTGTTTCCGGTGAATTAATACGCACAACAAATTGCCTCTGTCCTCTCATGCCTACCGCGCGCACATCCTTCATGCACACGGTATGAGAACTGATCTGTTGGTCGTAAAAATAAATGATATGTATGTTGGTGCAACCCCTCTCAAGCCCCTACTTAGTGCAGCAAGTATGATAGTGAAGAAGCAGGAAACTCGCTGATATCGGAGAATACAAAACAATATCTCCCTCTGCTATGCCTTTCCCAGTGCAAAACTAATCTTTGAGTATATTTCGAATGTACCAAGCTGCACACTATCATTAACAACTGAAAATGCATATTGCAGCGTTTATTATGGTAAAAAGAACATAAAAGAAAAATAAGTTGTTGCTATTTTGGCGCTATATGCCTGGAAATTAACGCGACCGACTGATCGATTAATTTGTATATTAATGGGTGGCGATTAATGGGATTAAATTTTTTAATCGATGCTAAGCCCCATTGACAGTTGTCGAAAGGTCGCCGCCTTGTCACATGGTGCCGTCTAATCCAAAAAGGCTTCAAGGTGACGGATAACACTTCCCACAAAAGAGAGATGAAAGAACTTGAAATAATTTGAGGTGTGGCTTGTGTACATCGTTGAAATGCCACTTGCAGTGAACAAGAGTGCTCTTGCATTCTTCAAACAAAACAAAAACACGACCGAAGAACTCTTGGAGGAGACAACCCTTTCCCTTTAGGATCACCTTTGAGTTATGGTGACGTCAAAATGACGCCTAGCTCTGGTTGGCTTTGATTAAAAGGATTGTGGGTAGAACTCAATGCTAGAGATGCCTTGAATATTACCCACACATTTGTCCATCAGCAGATGAGAGCTCGACGTTCTGACATCATCGCAACTCCAGTGCTAGAAGCAGACGAACTTATGATTTGCATTGTTCGAATGCTCCCACTTGCTAAATTTTATGTACGAGTCCTGTCGTGGAGGTCGTTAATCACGTCATTTGCGGGCGAGGGATGTGCATGCCTTCCTGCTATCTTTTTTTGCAAATATATTTTCGATCGCTACGCGCATTGCCGATTGACACGGCTGAGCGGGCGGCGAAGTTTAAACTCATCGTAAAAAAGACAAACATTCCAGTAGCATTCTCTTTGACTCGCGCGCACACCCCAAAAATAACTCGCAGTTTTGACGTAGAACTTCGTCTTTTTCCACGCTTGATGGCGGCTGAAAGGTTGCGAGATCGATGTCACAAAAACTTTGTTACGGAAGTGACGTCACACAGATAACACCGGCCTCCTAACGGCCTCCTAACGGCCTCCTAACGCATAAGGCCCGATCGCTTGCGTGCAGTGTTGGGAAGTACTTTAAGTACATTGTACTTAAAGTACTACTTCAAGTAGGTTTAGAAAACTTGTACTTTACTTGATGTACATTCTCTCAGTATGTACTTGTACTTTACTTAAAGTATTTTTTTCTGGTACTTTCCGAGGAAAGTACAATTCCCGACTCCAAAGTACATTCCCCAAATTTGGTTTTGTTATATTTGTGTCACGAAATGATGCCTTGTCAACTTCGAAGAAATACTGGGAGGGAAATTCCGCTCTCACCAAAAAGGTAAGCAGACGACGCATCACTCCGTTTCTTCTGGGGGCGGCTTTCCAGTAGCTTTTTGAACTCTCGCTACTTTTTGGTCGGTCAGCGCAAGCGAGGAGATTTGAAATATTAGGACACCAAAATCATCATTATCTTGCACGTGAGACTGTGGTGCGGAACAATTAAACTTTCAAGTCGAAGAAGAAAAACAACAGAGGAGAACGTCACAATGTTTTGAGACATTCTCTTTTGTCTTTTCCATCGACCTGAAAGTTCCTCAATGTTTTCGTACCCCAATCTCAGGTGTCATATTATGATTAATTATCACCACCTCGCTTTCACACTCACTGTTTCTTTGTTTTTTTCATTAAATAGACGACACTCCTCTATGAGAGAATTGCTTGCAGAAGCTATGGGGCTGACGTCATGCTCTCTCCTAGTACTGCGCACTGAATGAGGGCAATCGCATGCTCTCGTGCTCCCTCGCCAGCAGTAGATGGGTGTGTGCGCTGAGTGCACCCTGTCTATTTCGTCCCGGCAAACTTCCATCACATGCAGCGGTGAGTGTGATTTCGTCTTCCACACAAAATGCCTGAACATTCGCCAAGAAGATTACGACGTCCTTTTTCGCGACGGTGTCAGCATATACAAATGCACTGACTGCACTCGGCGTCCGTGCGGTGAGGAAAGGCTCGTCAATGCTGACGTGCTGTCGCCCGGCTCGACTACGCCCACTGCCATGGGCAGTGACGAACATCCTGCGAATTCGGTGGCTACTCTGACAGAGCTGCTTTTGAAAGTCGACCGGCTGGAACCTACAGTGACGTCACTCAAGCTCGAAAACGCTGCTATGAGGCTGGAACTGAAAAACAATGACTCATGTGTCATGAAGCGCCTGGACTTCGTGAATACAAACCTTGCGAAAGCCCTCGACGCTTTGTTGACCATTCAACCAACAGGGCCGGGCTATGCCAAAGTGGCGGGGAATGCAACGAGGCAAACAGGTGATGGAACGCCGCCTGTTCGTCCCAACGCTGCAAACAAGGCACCGGCGAACAACAACGAGACCCAACGACCTTCCAAACAGTCCACTTCTGCTTCCACCGCACCTTCAACGCACTCGGATAACGTCAGTCCGAGCTCAGGCAAACGCAACCAGCCAGAAGACGGCTGGAATGAAATTCAACGCCAGCGGAAGGCAGAAATACGAGAGGGTGCCCGCAAGTCGACGACTCTGAGGACCGTTCCCCGGGGTCCTGCCCGGAAAGCATTGTTCGTAACAAGGATGAACCCGGATACAACCACGGAAGACATCGAACAGTTTGTGGCTGATGTGGTGAAGGACGACACGTTCGTACGTACAAGGCTTAAAAGCAAGTTTTCTACATACTCGTCTTTTCACGTCGCAGTAAGTGCTGACACGTTTGATATTATTAACGACCCACTAGTGTGGCCTGAGGGGTGTCTTTTTCGCAAGTTTCGTGGTGTACTAAGAACCGACGAACTTGCTAATGCAGACACGGGAGAAGCTTAAAACTTTATCAATCTACTACCAAAACGTAAGGGGCCTTCGCACTAAGGCCGATACGTTCTCTGAGCGAGTAGCGCTTTCAGACTACGACGTGTATTATATTACAGAAACTTGGCTACTAGGTGACATCTCATCTTATGAATATTTTTCTGACAGCTACTCCATATTTCGCCGCGACCGCAATTACGGAGTTACCGGACAGAAATACGGTGGTGGTGTACTCACAGCCATACGCAACAACATTACGGCAGTTCGTCGCTTGGACCTCGAAAGCTATGAAGAACGTGTTTGGCTTGAAGTGAAAACTGGCGGACCCAAAAATCTTTTAATAGGAAATTATTATATACCCCCGTCTCTCGATTCCAATGAATTTGAGCAGGTTCTGATCAGTTTATCAGAAAAACTCGACGCCGCCAACTTTAACGTGATCATTGTCGGCGATTTTAATGTACCTGGTACGTGGTGGTCGAGCGAAGCTTCAGAGTCAAGCTGTCGCAAAGGAAATCAGCTCTTAAATTTTGTTCACTACAACGATCTTTACCGCGGCGAAGTTCCTTCAAACGTATGTGGAAACGCTCTGGACGTTCTTTTTACTAATCTTGAAACTTACAATATTGCAATAGTGAGCAATCCGATTGTTTGCGCCGATATATGGCATGTTCCATTTTCCGTTAAGGTAGACGTGCTAGTCTCGTCCGTGAAACACAAAAACATATATCGGTTTGACTACGCCAACGGCTCATATCTTGACTTTTATCTTTTCCTTGCTGCGCACGCGTGGGACGACGTCCTTCGTTTACACTCGATTGACGAGGCGGTCACTGCTTTGACCAATATTTTGATGACCGGCATGCACAGCTTTATACCTCGTAAACAAACTGATCGATCAAACAGATATGCCCCCTGGTTCTCTCGCGAATTAAAACGCGTAATGCGCAAAAAAAACAGAGCCACACGCTTCATTCTTAAAAACTACACGCGTACAAGCATCACCTCACTAAAGGAAAAACTTGGGCTACCACCTCTTGCAGACAGAAGGAAAATCTCAGGGCTTGCATCATTACATACTTTTTATTACCACTGCCCATCGAAAAGAGAACTGTATTGCCGGGCTGCACCCCTTATTTCCGCGCGTACTGACAATTCGCAAAAACTCCATTTGGTCACTCCACGAACAAACCTCTTTAAATTTTCACCATTACAGTTAGCTTCATACGAATGGAACTTTCTTCCTGATAATATTGTAATCATCCAAGAATCCTCTGCTTTCAGAGATTCTCTTAATACTTACTTATACGCATAGCAACCGTAGCACCTGTTTTCTTATTCTATTTCTTTTATGTTTGTGTTTTGAATAATGTTGTACTTGCCCCCCCCCCCCTTATGCAAAGCCGTACGGGCGCTTTAAGGGTATAATATATGAAATGAAATGAAATTTGCACCGTCTTTACCGCACTACTAACAGCAACGAAGTTTATGACAGGATAAAAATATGCCGAGCCACGGCTAAAGAACTGTATAAGCGCGATAAAGAGGCTTATCGTAGACAAGTCGAAGGGAGTGTTTCCAAGTGTCCCCAGGAGTTTTGGCGATTGGTTAAAAAGCATACTCGAGATAGGTCGAGTCCTGCTTCACTTATGATTGACGGAGCATATTCTTCTGATCCTGACAAGATATGCAATTAATTCGCAAAGTTTTTCCTGTCCACCTATTCATCAGTCAGTGTCGAAAACACAGAGATTTTACTAACTACTCATAACCATTTTCCTCCTCCGACAATTGACTTTGCCGACGTTGTTTGGGCAATTCATCAGCTCCCATCTAAAAAATCTTGTGGCCTTGATGGCATACCGAATTTTATAGTTAAGGGGTGTGTCGACATACTGGCTCCCATTCTACACCACATATTTTTTATGTCGCTGAAGCAGTCTATCTTTCCGACCGCCTGGAAAAAGGGCTTGGTAATCCCCCTTCCTAAATCAGGCACCTCAACGAATATCACAAACTGTAGACCGATATCATTGCTTTCCGCATTTTCGAATGTATTCGAAAAAATCATTCATAAGCATCTAGCACACTGTTTTAAGCACTTAATACCCGAAGTTCAACATGGTTTTTTGAGCGGCAGGTCTGTTGAAACAAATCTTGCGTGTTGTTTAAATGATGTTGCCCCCAGAGTCTGTTCTTGAGAGCAAGTTGACGCAGTGTATTTTGATAGTAGCAAGGCATTTGATCGTGTAAACCACAAGTTACTGTTACACAAACTTTATGTTTCTGGTCTCAGCGACGAGTACTGTTCTTGGTTTGAAAGTTATCTTTCTGCAAGAGAAAACTGTGTCGGCTACGCAAATCTTAGGTCTTGTTTTTTTCCTGTGCCATCTGGTGTACCCCAGGGTTCCAATCTGGGACCTCTTCTTTTTAATATATTTGTTAAAGATGTCCAAGACATCATTCGCCATTCGAGCCTCTTGCAGTTCGCTGATGACCTCAAGATCTATAAAAATATTTCGTCATTAAATGATTGTGCTCTACTGCAGGAAGATATCAACGCCATCTGTCCATGGTGTAAAGATAAAGGGCTTGATCTTAACATTGGAAAAACAAATGTAATATCGTTCACGCGGAAGACTAATCCAACTAACTTTCTCTACTCAGAAAATTCGTCGATTACTCGAGTTACGATTGTGAAAGATCTGGGAGTGATGCTAGACTCCAAACTCAACTTTAACTCGCACGCGACATACGTTGTGAGCTCTTGTTTTCGTCTTCTCGGTGCAATTTCAAGATTTAGTAAGTGTTTTTCAAGTGTTTACCTTTTCTACGTACTTTACCGAATTCTTCCAAAACATGACTTCTGCACTGTGATTTGGAACAGCCTTAGTGCTACAGCTTCCAATAATGTGGAACGCGTACAGAAGAGATTTGCCAGAACTTATCATTTTAGATCCCCATCACACGATCTATATGATTACAACGAAGTGCTCAGACAATTGCAAATCACTAACCTTGCATCAAAACGATGCTCGCGTGACCTTTTATTCTTGTTTAAATGCATACATTCTAATCACGATATTAGCTCTCTGGTCACATCTATTAACTATCATATACCCGGTAGAAATGTTCGTTCTAGTCGCACTTTCCATGTCAATTACAGCGATTTCACGTCACCCTCGGGCCGACTGCAAAACTACTTCAATCATCTGGAATCAGATGGCATTGACATTTTTAACCCTAACCAACCTCATTTTAGGAAGTTCTTGCTTCATGTATTGAAATAATGTTCATGCTTTGCAACTATTCAATTCCTGTGTTTTTTTTTTTTTAGAGGTGTGTGAGGCGACCATACTTTTCTTGTTTGTGTTTATATGCTATCTGAAATGTTACTAACAAGTGCACCAATGTATAGGCTTTGGCTGTTTTTGGGCACTCAAAATAAACAAACAAACAAACATTTAACCCCCTTGGGTGCAACAATCCAGTGCAAGCGGCGCCCAATTCAGAAGAGGGACTTCTGAATTTGACTCAATTCCCGAAAATAACTACTCTGTGGCCAAATTATTTATCAAATATTCGCCGCTGTTTTTGAAAATAGGTCATGCACCCCTGATTACCACTGGGCAATGCGTACCAGTGAAAACATCACTGTATAGGGGAATTGAAGGACACCATGAAAGATTGTGTTGAAATACTTGTACTTTACTTTCAAAGTACATTGTATTTGTAGTACTTTACTTCAAGTACATTCCACCGGTATTTTCGCCTTATGTGGCCCCGTGTTTACGAGATGTGTCACTAACTTGGTAACATTGTGAGCGTTTTCTAAAATGTTACTGGTGTTCACGCCAAACAGAGGTCTTTGCATTACACAAGAAAAATCTAGAAGGCTGCTTTGGATTATTTAAAAATATCTGATTTGTATTTGATTCTTCGCAATACTTACATTATGTCCATTGATTCTGCAGAATATATTTCCGCCCTCAATAACAACTTCGTAGCAATCAACTTCATTATAGGCCTCAGACAAAAACCCTTCTGAAAAAAAAAATGTTATGAAGGTGCAGCCAAGAAAGGAGATTATTGTGAGTTTTAGAATCGCGTACCGGAGCAAGCGCACAAATAATGATCCTTGGAGAAAGGGAACAAGGGTGACAAAAGAGCAACGCCCATCCCCACACACAGCAAATCTCCAAAACAAAGTTTAGGGGTTTGTGTTTTTCCTTTGTCCCCCTGTTCCCCATCTACAGAAATTACTATCATTATTCTTGTTCTGTTCGCTTGCACCTCTGCATTCATTGCATTATCATAACATGAACTGTGCGTTTGCGTTAGCATTGCGCAAAATGCTGGTATATTTCTAAGATAGTAGGCACAAGTCTGTCTAATTAAACTTTGATATTAAGTTCTAATTTTGTCAATCATTTTTATTCGTAAAATTAATCATTTTAAGTTATCTACGAAAACATTTTAATATGGGATTTGTAAATTGAGCCTTCTGCACAAAACATCCGACGTTATCGATAAACATCATCATCAGTTATTTTAGAGCGCAGCTCTTAGGGGCCCGTTTCCGGCTTGAGCGGCGTCGCCGTCGCCGTCGCCGTCGCCGTCGCCGTCGCCGTCGGCGTAACCGCGCGGTGCATTATGGGTAAAATTCCCCGCTAAATCTAGCGGAAAAATTTCCCCGCTAAATTTAGCGGAAAATTTTCCCCGCTAAATCTAGCGGAAAAATTTTTCTGAGGGGTCACGTGACCCCCCAAGGCCACATGACCCCCCCCCCCCCCCCGCCCCGACAACAGGTAACCCTCTGTACCCTTCCCTCCTCCTCCTCAAGAGCTGCGCTCCAATTCGGTGTTACAGGGAGTTGTAAACGGCTTTCATTTTTTAGCACTACACATTAGCTGAATTTTTAGTAACTGGTTGCTTAACCCTCTCAACAACTTCAAAAACCCCGAAATCCCGGGGGGTAGTGACCGCTTCATTTGCGACCTCCAGGATAATCCAATTCTTTGAGCGCATGCAATAAACGAAAATTAGCAGTTTAACAGTGCAGTCTGTGTGAGGCTCAATAAAGCTGCCCTGAAGAGGTTTCTAAGATCGCCTGAATATCGCGATACCTCACTCTGTTGGCTGTAAACATCCTAGAAATTCCCCAATCATTAAGATACGCGTCTGATTTTCCTATTAAAAATGAAATAAAAAATCGCGAAACAAAGTTTGTCTCCGGCGTTGGGAAGAGCATGTTCCGAAACCAGGACCGCTGTCAGCCAATAGCTGACAGTGGTCCTGGAACCTCCGACCGGCTGAATCGCGGAGTGATAGCTTCAATGCACGCGCCACGTTGCCCATTCAGCCCGCACTACGATTCAAACCTGCGAGCACGCGCTCGAGAGCTGACGACCGGACGATATCACTCCCTCGAAAAATAAAAATAAAAAACATGGTGCGCTGTTTTTGAGTGCAAAAATGTTCCAAAAGCCGCGTGAATTCATGATTGAAAAGGTTTACTCCGACTTAACATAACAAATTAATAACAAAAGGTACAGACGTTTCGCCACCTATGCAGGTGGCATCTTCAGTATACACTGACACAAATGAGGTGAGGTCGACCAGTCTACTTATCACACACGTCCCCGTAAACGTCCGGCAGGGGGCCACGGTTGGTGTTGCACGCCGATGAGTCACGGCGAATGAACCAGGACTCGACGAATTTTCTTTGCCCCCATTTTTGTTCTCGGGCCAGCGTTGTCGCATTGTCCAGGTCGAAACTGTGTCCTGTCGTCCAGCAGTGTTCGACAAGTTCCGTCTTGGACCGCGTGGCATGGGTGGCCTTGGCAACGTCCCTCTTGTGTTCTTTCAATCTCGTTGCCCTCTTTCTGCCCGTTTCGCGGATGTAGGTCGCGTCACAATCCCCGCACTGCACTTTGTATACGACCCCACTCTGACCGTCTGCAGAGGTGCGGTCCTTCGGTTTCGGGAACACATTCGCTAAGGTATAATGGGGTTTAAAAACAGTTTGTACGCCCAGCGGGCGCAAAGCTCTCCGAACAGCATCTGACACGCCCTGGACATAGGGAATAGATACAATAGACGTTGCCCGCATTCGTGACTCCCTCCCCCTTCCCCTCTGCATTCGCCTCTGCGTATCGTTAATAAACGTCCTCGGATAATGGCGCCGCTCTAACGCACCAACCACATTTTCTACCTCTTGCAACCGTAGCTGCTTGTTAGAGCACACTGCATCACAACGTGATAAAAAGGTTCTTACAATGAACCGTCTGTGTTCGGTCGGGTGATGCGAGTCAAAGGACAAAGAATTTCCGGTGTCACACTGCTTGCGGTACACCGTCGTTTCCACACTGCCATTACTGGCCCGGCGTACCAACACATCCAAAAAAGGCAACACATTATCTGTCTCTGTTTCGTACGTGAACTGAATGGCGTGGTGTACGCTGTTCAGCGCCACATTGAGACGAATATTACAATAATATGTTCTCTCTCGGCGAAAAGCTAACATTTTTCGACTACACTTTATTCGGCTTTATCATCTACAAAAGCATACACCTTTTGTACTATCAGTGTTTGCAATCTCAACGAAATGTCACCTTTTCATTGGTCACGTATCGTCCTGGCTGCCGGAACAATGCTCCACCCCTGCGGAAATAACTTCTGTGCGCTCGATTTTTTATTGCTTTTCTAATACGAAAAGCGGCCGCGCATCGTAATGATTTATGCATTTATAGGATGCTTAGAGCCCGCACAGAGAGTTTTCGCCTTATTTAGGCGATCTCAGAAACCTCCTTAGAGCACCTTTAGATGGCATGCGATGCACTGACTTCCATTTGCAACCTCGTCAGACACCTGACGTTGATTGGCATTGTCTTCAATACCAAACGACGTTCAGAGAGCACCGGTGGTATCCAATCACAGGTGTTTCTTAAAGAAGGAAACCTGGCAAACTATATATAGAAAGAAAGCAGAAAGAATGTTGTAATTGCTATATATGTATATCTTCATTCAACTTACCTTGAAATGCAGGTAGAATAAGCACCACGGCGAGACGTACGAGCAGCATGTTGATTATATTGCAATATAATATCACAGTCTAACGGGAACCTCCTCCTAAAAGAGAAAAAATAAAATAAATATAGCGGCGAAACTCGACAGCGCAATCTTTTTTTTTTTTTTTTTTCTCGGAATGTAGAGGCAACTTTTTTTAAAGGAGAGTTCCTGCGAAACATTAATATTCATAGATTTCTATGAAACATTCGGCGTGCACTAAATATTTACCCCTGCATAAGGCTGCGAAATATATCATCCAAAATTCTTTTCTTTTGACAAAAGAAATTTTGAAGTTCACGTGTCCCAATCCCTAACTGCGCCTCTTCTGGCAACACTGAGCAGCGGCGGCGTTGATTGTGACGTCGAATGTTGTATCCAAGAGTAGACCCTTCCTCCTCGTTGTGCGCTGTAGTAGCTTATCGCAATAGCCATTTTTATTGAACGGGACCAGACAGGCATGGACTTTCTGTGTAGCAGCCAGCCTTAGTATCTAACCTTGGTTTACCTTAGCACAGCGCTACGTTCAGGGCCGAACTCGGCACTAACTTTTTTACAGGAGACCTCGAACTTCAGAACACAGGTGCCCTCCATGCACCGGCAAAAACCGTCGCGATCATCTGGATTCCAGAACGTCTACTCAATCCGCCGGCAAGCGAAGAACAATTTGATAATAAGAGGAGTGAAAAACACGTCTCACGTAAATTTCATCCATTACTGGCTCTGGTGAACATCGTATCGGAGTGATTTCCAGACCGCCGAGAACACGAACGCTGTGCACAGGCATATTCCAGAGCAAATACAAGAATACCATGGAGTCGTGTTGTCACCGTTGCCGCTTACAACTGCGGGACACAACATTGAAACCAAGCTCCGTTATGGTAACTTCGCTACTTTTTCTGAATCTAACTGTAACTGTAACGAATTACTTTTTGAAGGTGGCTTACCCAAGACTGATTTGGAGACAAAATTCTTTCTGTATATATATTGTTGGAAGCGAATATTACCCCGAATGGCATGAACAGCATGAAAACGTAGCTGAACATATCCACCTACAACAGACCGTTATTTAAACGAACGGTATTATGAAGTCCATTTTACGAGCACACATTGAACTCCTGTTGCCTCTAACAGCGCTGCATTGCGACAAGAACTAATACTAGTATAAAAATTTCGAACAGAACTTACGTAAGGCTTTCTTGCTTCAAGGAACTTGATGGGG